AAATAAAGTATTTTCATGGAATCCAATTTGAAATCATGTGAAAAGTAATCCCGATACCTATATTCAATTTAATGTCATTTTAAAGAAGAGGCCAAGAACAAATTACCGTTTTCTGAGAGACTGTAGGCAATCTGAATACATTTCATTTTTCTGATTTAGAAAAAGACCTCCGTATTCATGACAGGTTTTTCTTAATTTTTCATTGAAAATGACAGTTTAAACCTACTTGTTTACCTACAAATTATGCCCTGAAACACCTTTGACCAAGCTAAAGTTTTAAAGCATCATTAAAGGAATTTGTTTCTCAAATTTGAGAAATCTGTAGGCTCCTTTCATTTACTAGATCTTGACCTTAAAAGGCGTAATGATATCAGGGTTCGACACTAACATTTTTAGGCTTTAGTCCGGCCGGACTAGTGCTTCTTTTACTAGTCCGAACACGATTTAATGAGTCCATCAAAAAAAAAATCAATGTTTTGTAACGGTCAATTTAAAAATAAACATTGCAAAGTACTTTTTATACTTTTTTTTGAAATAAACAAAGCATTTACATGAAATATTTTAGTCCAAGATTTGTTGAAATCTCGCGATCAGGAACTATGATTGTATTCCCGAATCCCGATCTCGTTAGTTTTCTCTATACATTACATCCAAACGTCCATACTAAATCATGATCGCTAAAATGTTTAATTTCATACCAATCTGTCCTAAAAGCGCCGAATTGACTCGGAATTACCTAACGCTAGAAAGCTTAAAACACATGCGGGGTTTTCCAGTGAAAGTTGTCGAGAATCGTACATCAATAATTTATTGACTTTTTTCCCCAGAAATTTTTCTTAGTCCGTTCGGACTAATTAGCCACCGATTTTATAAGTCTAAATGAAAATCTATTAGTCTGAGACTAACGTTAATGTTGAACCCTGAATATACATTCCAATTGTTTTTTAAAATGAATTTTGATTGGCTAATGCAATGATGTTTGATGCAGTTAAATGAGCGTTAACGAGAGTGAAAGCTTTTGATTGTTACGTCATAATAGAGCGACGCAAAAACACAACATTCCGTGACGTATTTCATATAACAAAACTCAACAAAATAAACATAAACATCAAACAAAAGGCATAAATTGCATTAGAATGGGAATAACTATCTTCTAATTTGGTATTTGAGACTGTTAATGCTGATTTAACGGTCGCAAACTAAGTTTTACCGGCAACGCGTAAGCAAAGCCGGTAAAACTTAGTTTGCAACCGTTAAATCAGCATTAATGGTCGCAAATACCAAATTAGAAGATAGTTATTCCCTAATTTATTGCCTGATTGTTAGGGAAATATGAAGATTTATTCAGCCAAGAAAAATCATATTCCCCGAGGGCGGAATATGATATTTCTTGGCTGAATAAATCTTCATGTTTCCCTAACATTCATGCAATAAATTGTTTATTATACTGAAACAAGCAAAAACTTTAAAAATAAACATAAACTTCCAAATTCGGCACTGCTCTCAAATTCACTTTCAATTTTAACGTAAAGTTACTGAAAACACTTCAGCACTTCTGTGACGTGAACCAGGCTATTATGACGTCTACTACTCTCGGGAGTTTTTGTTCAACGAATGGTGAATTTTGCGGGAAAATGCACTAGGTCTCTGAAGCGGTTGAATATGATGAAAAGCATGACAACGATAGGGAAATATGAAGTTTTATGGCCCTGTCACGTGATAATCTAGAACCAATCAGATAACACATTGTATAGATTATAATAATGAGGTATAATAATGCCTTTTTCACGTTATTTCATCTTAGTTAATTTTTGTAAGTAGTTTAACAGTTCATATGTACAAGTACTGGTTAGAACAGTGTATTTGTTGTGTAGAAGTTTGAGCTATATGGTCATATGGACCATGGACATCTGTCTGGGTAGCTCTGGTAGAGCACCTGACTAGTAATACAGGGGTCCCAGGTTCCATATTCTTGGTCCAGCCATATACAGCGCTGCCTCAAAAGTATTCGCAGAAAAACAAAATGGTGATTTTTTAAATATGAAATTAAAAAAATGATTCTCTTTTGAGAATTCATTGATTGTTGACTAATTAAGAGTTATTTCCCATATACTTATCACATGGCCAATGACCTAATCTGATGACGTATCAATGTTTTTATCTGCTTTATTTATCCAGTGATTTCCAATGTCGCAAGCAATTTGAAAGCACTAAGCAATGATGTTAAACAACTGGTTGTTGACTTTAAATAAGAGGGGCACAGAAACTCTGAAACTGAGAGGTTGTTAAACTAAGCAATGACGTTAAACAACTTTGCTGACTTTAAACAAAAGGGGCACAGAAACTATGAAATTGAGAGGTTGTTAAATTTATCGGAGTCAACAATTCATAGCCAAGGGTCATATCATGAACTTGATGTAAATGTTGATAGTATAACGTAGTAATTAGCATGTTTCCTGGTAGTTTCAAAGGGGAAAATTCATACTCAGGCCAAATAAAAAAATATGTGTGGTTCCGGTTACCCGACCTTCCCTATTTTATACCCCGACCCTAAATTTTTTTTGGCAGTTTTCATATTTTTACCAGAATTTCCCCTGATTTCCATCAATGGATCCAGTTTAAGTTTTAGTTTCAGCAATGACGGCCTCCTTGCAAAACATAGTGCAAGTGTTTAATAGTGTTAAATCCAAAGCAAGCTAGCATGTAGGAGTCCCCTACCAATATTGACTAGTATATTATCACACCACATCTAAATGCCATTTGCAAAGCAGTGATAGGTATTATTTAGAAAAAATTAAGAAAATCATTTTGTTAAAAAAAAAAAAAAAAAAAAATCCCTACATACCTAACCTAATTTTTTTGGAACTGTAACAGGAACCACACATATTTTTTTGTTTGGCCTCAGGATTTTTTTTGCTTGGGTTTGAACCCCCAAGAATACCACTTTTTTTTTTTTTTTAATAAATCATAGAGTGAGTTTTACCAAAAGAATTTTCTGCAGAAAAGTTTTGTTTAATACTAGAAATAGTAATATCTGTTTATTTCCTCCTCCTACAGTTTAAATCCAATTTCAGTAAGACTTTGTACACAAATAGACTATACTTAGATAAAAAAAATTCTATTTATTGGTTTTTGATTTTAACAAACATTGTTGCCATGTTTTAGTATATCATAATTTCATACCTTTCAAAGATAAAAACTTTACTATAAATACTAAATTCACAAATCAAGAAATGAAGGCTTTCATAAAAAAGTGTGCGATTTGTTTTTTGTTTTTTTTAGATTCAATTTTTGATGACCAAAATAATATATATATATGGTAGTTAATGCTTATGATTAAATTTAGTGACAAACATGCTACTTTTCATGTACATATTCATTATTTAAGGTTCATAAACCCTCTGCTCACTTGTATAAAATGTTTCTTTAACTCTTATGACTTTCCAAAAGAATTGTATTTTAAAAGTAAAATACAAACAATTATAGCAAAATTGGACAAAAAAGACCCTTCAAACTTGACAAATTTATAAAGGAATAATAGACATGGAGTTATTGTAGAGTCATTAATGACAAATGAACAAAATATTGTGACAACAAAAATCTATGGGATCAAAGTAATGAAAGTAAGAAAAATTTAATTATATTGTAATTTAGAAATTAACTTTGCTACAAAAATCTACATGTAAATCTGAAAGTAAACAAAATACATTATTTGGAGGATAAAATATATGTTCTTGGTAATAAATGGTGAAAAAATCCATCTTTAATACATCCATATAACATTCTTTTTTTACAGCAATGTTCAAATTTTCAAGCATTTGTTAATTACAGTTTTTAAAGTGAAGTTTCATGGAGCACATAGCAAACCAAAGGTTTCTGGTTCAAGCCCATCTGTGAGCATGTGTTGTTTGTTGTGTCCTTAGACAACACAGATAAAGTGCCTTGTCTAAGGACACAACACAACAAATTTGAACATTGCTGTAAAAAAAGAATGTTATATGGTTGTATCAAAGATGGATTTTTTTCACCATTTATTACCAAGAACACAAATTTTGTCCTCCAAATAATATACTTCGTTTACTTTCAGATTTATATTTGGAGTCCCCCCAGCATTCAGGGGGAGTCAATGAGTCTCATCCCCTTAGCACCACAGAATCTGGGTAGAAGCACTGGTCTTATGGGCTTCATGACTCAGAGAAGGATTTAACTAACTAAATAACTTGATACATGTGTAACTTAAAATGTAGTTTACGGAGACTTGGTCTTACGTAAATGTTGATTGTTATGGATATTTGAATTGAGTTATAATACAGTTAAAATTATCATATAGTTGCTAATTAAGTAAGGCTTCTAAAAGGTAATATTATGCACATTTTGAAGAAAAGGCTGAGAAAAAATATGTTATGTGACATATGGAAATTTGACATCAGACAAACAATGCAATGGCCAATGATGTCAGTTACGAGGAAACCTGATTCTCAATTGACTATCTTTTTTTCATAGAAGTATTTACATTAGATTTCGGTCATTGATTATTTTGCCTGTTTTAGAAATGCCTGTGTTTGAACTTTTGAATTTCAGTTATCACTTTGTAATTCAAGCAAAGATAAAAGCCAAAAAAATTAATACATGGAGCTATATTGGAGGAGATTTTTTTTTATATTGAAGGACATGTTATCAATTAATATATTGAAGACAAAAATAGAACAGCTGATATTTTGATAAATTGGGGGAAAAAATTAAGTTGATATTTTGAGTCTCAAGAATTTCAATGAAGTCATTTGGATGCATGTCTTTGAAAACCCATAGACTCTTAGATGACAGTAAATATCTTATAGTATCTGCATCATGTTGACCTTCATTGATTGTGGCAGGCAATTCAGGCTGACTACTTTTCTGCATCAGCTGTCACACAAAGCTTTGTACTTTTTTTATTTGCTTTGTAACTGTACATGTACTTTATTTTTAGTGTGAAAATCAATGATGTTCATCAATAGTGATGTCTGCATCTCTTTGACTTTAAGTCTCTGTCAATCACTTGACTTTGTTCAGAGTTGAAGATCTACAGGTAAGTGTACCAATTGCTTTCTATATATGGTGTTGCTGGCTGATTTTCTAGGTATGTTTATTTAAGAATTTTATTTGTTTATTTTTATTTGGGTTGACATGCAAGGTAGCAAAAAGTGACACTTTATCACATGCTTTTAAGAATTTGATCCAGGACTTTCACAACCATAAAAATTTTAAATCTGATTGCGGAAAGGAAAACAAGCCAAGTGAAACAAGCTTTAAATTAATCAGGAAAAAGTTAACTTGAAGAATAATTCTACTAGTCGATATAGGATGGCTAGCAAATATATGTTTATTACTTGTAATTATAATTTATATTTAATTTTTTTAAGAAAAATTTTAATGAATTGTATACCTTCGTTCTTACAGTATATGTAGAATCTAAATTTAAATTAACTTTCTGCAAAGGGGGGTGATGGATTGGGGTCAGATATGTTACCTGCAGATGGAAAAAATTGCAGCTTGGGCAATTTATAATGTATATTGTACATCTGTTCATGTTTCATTAATGTGGATCTTAAGGAGACTGGGTGGTCAATTTACTTAACAGATCACCTAAAAATATTAGATATGAATTGTTTAGTAAAGAACAAAACCCACATGTTCTAGCTACAGTGGCGCCGCGTTTATCCGGACGCCATTTATCCGGACGCTTCACCTTCCGGACGATATTTTTGGGGAACCGATTTTTTCCACGTTATTCTGTCTCATTAATCCGGAAATTCGCGTTCCGTATCCGGACGGTCGATTTCTACTACAAAACGTAATAGTTCGTTGAAAAAATGACTCGTTTATCCGGACGGTAATTTTTCAAGAAACGGCTTTTTCTCACCCATCTTGCAGTAGTGTTAATTGTTGTAAAAACATTGGCCATGTAGTCAGTTTAAAGGCGGTTACCTGTGACCTACAACCAAAAGCGTCTATAATTAATCTATGTGTTTACCCCAATTAAATCACACGTCTATTATGAAACTCGAAGAATTTCGCTTACACTGTGCATTACTTAAATAATAATCCGTTCAAAATCATATTGCTAACGGTATATACATCGGTAAATTCATGAGAATTTTGGAGAGTTGTAAATAAAAAGAACAATAAATTACAAGCGATTTCGTAATGGTCTTGATCATGTTGACTGTTAGTTTAAAATATGATTTTCTATTTCTAAAAACGTAAATGTATTTGAAACGCTTTTTTCTACATTAGGCAGAAAAGAAATATCTTTCTATTTAATGTACTACCATCTATAAACATACGTTACTTTAGAAAAGAAATATAAAGCTGGCGTTACGTATAGAAGTTGATCACGTTTTTTCAAGGTATTTTTTGTGATCGAAATTCAAACTTAGAGTCTTTAGAAAAAAATAATTAATAATCATTAAGATTGCTTGTGTTTATGTTGAATGTTTACAATACTTTCACTGATTGCGCGTGTTTGAGATAGCTTGAAGTGTTCAGTTACTATAGTAGCCCTGTGTAAAGAATATACGGGAATATACAGGTATCAAATGTAAAGGCAAAGGGAAAAAAACTGATATTTTGGTTTAAACTTTTTATTTTTTAGCTTTAAAAGAAGTAATTAAGTAAAGAAAAAAATATATTAAAATGTAATTTATGCGATAAAAAAATTGATACTAGGCAATTTTATGCTGAGACCTTTTTTAACGCAGGCTATTTTATTCGCCTTCTCTTTTGGCGTGAATTCATGAGCTGAGAAAATTTTGATCTACTCAGCATGTGCATATACACATACTTATCCGGACGATTCATTTATCCGGACGTTTTCGTTGGGAACGGAGGCGTCCGGATAAACGAGGCGCCACTGTATATAATTTAATGCAATTTTCTATATAGAGCTCTTCTTTTTAGGATAGTTAAATATTCTAAAAATGGTCATGACACCCATACAGCTCTCTAGAATTGTGAAAATTTCTCACCATTTTCAGTTCATGTGATGTGTGTGGAATGTCTTTGCATGTACATATATTATAGGGAAACTTTGCCACAAAAGATTCTCTGATAAAAAGTAATTTGTAGATACTTACCCAATGTAGCAATTGAAATTCAGAAGTTGAAGACTTTATATAAATTTCCTCATGATTTTCATATGAATATCATTTGATATGTATATCATTTAATCATTGTATATTAGTTCCTGATACATTCAAATATTAATTATTAATTAATGATCCATATGATTTTCATATAATTTTTTAACCTTTGGCAAGTTTACCAGTAATTACAGATCATGAATGAAATATTTATTTTCCACTGATTTATGTAGTAAAGAAACATTGTTAACAATACTATTAGTTTTTGCAAAAATGCCATTTTGAAAGGTTATAAAAAATTGAATATTTTCATATGTTTTTCAATATTTAATGAGTTAGTTTTCTTTGCAATTTCTCTTCTAACCACACTGACAGTGGTATATATTCCATAATATAGATAGATTGACATCGGGTTATCAGTGCCCAAAACAGTACCGTTTATCTGTTAAGAACTTTTTTTTATTTATAAAAATCTAAGACTGATTTCCACTATCAATATCACAAATCAGATATGTATTGTACATGTCTTAGAATCTTGAATCTGAATACCTTTTTGAGAGGAGAGAATATCTGAATCAACTGCAAAAAGCAATGCTCTGTGAGACAGACATGTTCATGGTCCTATGACCATAATACTGCCAATTGGATCAATAAGAATGGAGCTAGAGAGGAGAGAAACATCAGTATATCTATATAGTCTCTAGATTCCGCCTCGATGACCAGGGCCTGATGTTTGTAGTGTGCTGTGAGTTCTACTGGGCTTTACAATGTAGAAGAGATTCATGTTGTTTATCAAAGGATTTTGCCAAAATTCAGGAATAATTAAGCAGAAATGTAAGCTAAAGTGAATATTGAAGAAAAAGGTAATTATTCATAGATATCATAGATGAATAAGGTATCTGTTAATCGTGTCAATCTAGCTATTTATATTCAGGTTACATTATTATCAGTAAGCTTGTTAGATATTACCTGTTTGATGTGACAAGTATTGAATCTAATATAGAATTGGCCTGTATCTGCTGCTATCATTTTATTACATTTTTTTTATGTAGTTCCCCAGGGATTTCTTACTAGGGCTAGCTTATCTGTTGACATGTACATATAGAGTTGTGGTTGGTGGCCATCTCCTAGCTCCTATCACCATCTCAATGAACTCTGTGTTGAGAGGGAAATAGTCTTGAGCGTCAGAGGCAATTGATTTTTTATTTTAAGGAATCCTGTCAAATAAAAATACAAAACCTGCCGGTCGGTCCATTTTGACACTATGTAAATAGAGCTGCTTCAGCAGCTGCTGTCCTGAAAGCCATGCGTAAAATGATTACGTCAATGGACATCAGACAGGCATTTGATGCTGCAGCTCAGCAAATTCAATGGTTTCTCCTCAGGTGAGTAGGGTTTTTAACATATAAATCTCATTCTGAGTGACTGGTACAACAGAAGCTATGGAGGACTGACATTTATACAACACGATGTGTTGGAAGGTAATTATATAGTGATGCTCTGTCATTATTGTCGTCTAAGTCATGTTGGTTTTGCTTGATGAAGATGAAAATTCAAATTTCTTACAGTCTATTTAGTCAAATTATCTGGCTGTGTGGCTTAATTAAAGTAGATGCAAATTTTGAAATGTATCTTAATTTGGCATGTTTTCTATTTTAGCATTAATTTACATTCTGATATTTTTATCAAGGCATAAAGCTTTTAATTTTTAATAAAATCAAGCTAAGATCTATGACAATTAAGCCTTGAGACTATGGTACTTTTGGAATTCCGCTACATGTTACAGTGATTTTTGGTTATTTGAGGGACTCTTTAAGGAATTTCTTGTTTTTCTCTGTTGATACTCCTTAAGCTGCAGGTATAACTCCAATGTGAACAAAATTGTCATTTTCTTTCAAACTCTGTTAATCCTATTGATTTTGCTTATGACAATTTGAAATAGGATTTCTTAAGGGACTGTGGGGATAAAGTGATTTAATTTATTTGTTTTAGACTTTAAAGATCATTTGTGTGTACTTCAAAATATAAATTAAGCAAACAAAACTCCCTTGTTATGTATTGCTAGTGACTAATATACAAATATCAACCCAAATGCATTGAAGTTGAATGCAATGACATTAAAAATTAATCTGTCTTACATCCCCAGCCGGCCTACATTTAAAATGAATCCCAAATAAAATTGTTGGATTTGGTTTTAGAAGGAATGGATTATTTTGAAATTGTTTGATTAAAAAAAAGGGAAAGAAGGAAAAAAGAGGAAGTATTGTAAACAAATGATTGAATATTTTAGAATTCCCCTCTGTTAAGGTCGATGATGTCTCTTGATTTTCTTGCAGTTATGCAACTTATTGTGGGGTCATTTTACATATGTATAACAAGAATGTCTAAATATGTTATCATTGGTCAATTAAACCTCATTATCTTGAACTCGATGAAACCAAAAAGAAACTGAAATATCCAAGAATTTGAGATATTGAGGTTAGAAAACTTAAAATAATGTTTGGGACTTCCAACCTCAAAATATTAATGGTATTCAAGATATCATTGTTCGAGATACCAAAGTTCAATTGTTATTTCATGATTTTAAGGTACTGAAATTTGAAGAAAAAATTGTTTAGTTTCTTTTTTTTCTTCAAAATATGTTTCCTAGCAAGCATTATCAGGGGATTGAATGTCAAAATGCACACGTACAATCTGCAGTATTTAACTAGGTTTATTCTGACCTTGATTTTATATTGACCTTGTCAGACAACAGTTATACATTTGATATTACTAAGATGGTGTCATTGGGAGAAAAAAAGGCATCATGATGAACAGTAATTGATTTGTAAAAATAACTTGCGTATGGTTAACCATTAGTCGCAAAATATAAATGATTGGGGTGACCTAGGCTGCAAACATTTTCAGAATTTTTATGGGGAAAAGATTAAGAACAAGTCCTCAATGA